CTCAAAAGTTCTGTGTTAAAAATAATAGGATATTTGAAGTAATGAAATATTTTATATATATTTTATTTTTATTTTTATTTCCGGTACTTGGAATCAAACTCATGACCTTGTGCTTGCCAGGCAGGCGCTGTGCCGCTGAGCTAAATCCCCAGCCCCATTTTATATATTTTTTAAATGAAAATCTTGTTTTTCCAGTGATAGGACTAATATTTGCATTGTAAAAGCCAGAGGATAGGGAAGAGTATAAACTACAAAATAATGTAGTTCACCTAAAATTCTGTGAAGATTTATTAGCCAGATTCTTTGTAAATGTATAAGCAGAAATTTCACTCACAAATATAGTTTTATGTATGGGAGATCCTACCACAGTGGTGCTGCATGACCTTTTGTCCTCCTGCAATACCTTTCCACATCAGTGAAGAGAAGTCTCAGCCACTTTAATATTCAGTTGATTGGATATACAGTATCTTTGACTGTTGGTGTATTATAGACATTTAGGTCATTTCCTGATTTTTTTACCAGTTTTGGTACATCACTGTGTACAATGTGAACATTTTATCAAATTTCATCTTAGAAGTAAAATTTCTAGGTCAAATAAGAAGGCTTAATTTTTTGTACACATTGCCAACATGCTTTAAATATATATATTTTTAAATTTAGCAATGTGGAGCCAGGTGTGATACATATGGCAGGAGGAGTGCTGTGAGTTCAGGTCAGCCTGGACCACATAGGGAGACCCTGTCTCAGAGAGAGAGAGAGAAAGAGACAGAGAGGGAGAGGGAGATGTGGGGGAGAAGGGGAGAGAGAGAGAGGGGTAGAGAGAGAGAGAGAGAGAGAAAAGCATGGTATCAGGAACTCTCACTGCTACAATTGGTTGGATTTTTTATACTGCGTTAAAATTGGAACTTTCCAAATGATAGTTGTGGTTTTTAAGACTGTCCAGCATCTGTATGCTACATGATAATATTTATCTGAGGAGTTTTTTTTTTTAGGACCAATAAGAGTGCCTTAAGAGAATAAACTGAGTTTATGTAGCACGTGCCATGAGAAATGTCAGCCTTTCTACAATAGCTAGCTGGCTGAGATGAACAGCGGCTAGATCTTTTTCCTCTAGTGGTGTAAACTTAGGTGTCTGTAGAGTGCTCTGTTTCCTTGGAGACGCCCTAGGTGCCCAGCCCTGCAGGCAGCAGCCTCCTGGTGCAGACATCCAGGTGAGGTGCAGCCCAGCCCCTTCCTGCTCCCTTTACCCTTCCTCCCAGCCTACCCTCCCTGGACTTCTAGTGTCCAGCCCCAGACCTCTCTGTCCCATCCTACACCCCTTCTCATGGGGTATCAATGTCCAGGTGGTCTCCCCAGAGCTGTTCTCTCTGTGACTCCTGGTGATTTACCTTTCCCAGGACCATTTACCATTCTTTGCTACTATTTTTGTTTTAGATACTATGGAGAAATGGTAGACCTTGAGCTAAATTACTGGTTTATGACTTCTTAGCATTAATGAAACAATGTAACAATTCCTTTGTTAATTTTTAGTTATATTACCAAGCTAATTGTATTATTATTCGTGTAAAGGTACCTCAGCTGTTAAACTTATCATTTGATCTACCTGATTTGTCTTATTTTTTCCCTGTGCTTAATATTTAGCTTATTTTTTTAAATCATATTCACTGTTATTTTCTTTGAAGTATTATGGCAAATATTAGAATTCAGTCTGTAGCCAAACTAAAGCATGTAGCACACTTTGTTTTCTTGCAGACCAGAGTTGACACTGAGCATCTGCCCTGCTAACTGCTTAAATTTGTTAGTTCTTATTTTCATAAATCATTCGAGGAGTTCTTTGTGATATCAGTACGTGAGGCTTTAGAAAGTTGTTGCCCTAGAAACTGAGTGCACTTCTGAAAATTAGCACTCTAAATCTAAGGCCTGTCCCCTTCAGGAGACAATAACTCCCAGGCCTTGCAAAATTTGACTGTGGAAAGAGTTGACTCTAGAAAGACTGCTAGTGAACAGCTGTATCAAGAGGAAGAAAGATTGTACAGCCACACCTGAATTACCAGTGTCAGAGCCTGCGCTCTTCCACCAGACCCTGCTGAGTTACCTCTTGAGCAAACAGTTTAACAGCATTTCCCTACCACACATATGTAGCTATGTAATTCGTGTGCTGGTTTATTCCTCTTAGACCTGAAACAGATTGATAGCCAGGACTCTTGTACAGTTCTAGCCTACTCTCTTAATACCTTGACTGAAAGTCTTTGTTCACATGAATTTTAAAAATAAAAGAGTGCTAAGTTCTATAAAGCACACTGTCAGCCGTGTTTGGAGCAGTGGTCACAGTGCCTCACTCCAGTGCCGAGGACCATACCCCTCTCTTCGTGAGTCAGTGTTGTCAACAAGAACTCAGGCTGTTTAACCAAGGTAGCTTTGGAAACGCTTATCTGCCGTGTGCTTTGCACCTACCATATACATCCGGCACAGTTCTGATTGCACAACTCCGAATTATGAATGCTGTACAGCAAAATTCTGATCCTGACCTGTCTTCTGTGTCAGTGGCCTTTCAGATTGGTCCTCTCTGTAATTTAGGAATGTAAATTATTATGATACAAATGTTAGTGTAATTCTACAGAACAGACAAAACATGGTAAGGCAAAAAGTATTATCTTTGGAACAATGAAAGTGTGAGGAAGGAGACCAGAGTTGCCTATTACTGCCCTCCCATTCACTGACTAGTATATTCAATGTCATTACTGTTATTTTAATAATTAGAGCATCTTCAAAGGCACAATTGTTTTTTCAGTACTGAAGATTGAACCCAAGGCCTTGAGGCTGAGCGGCATCCCTAGCCTTTTTTTTTTTTAAAAACATTGTACAGATTAGACTGCCTGTTACTCTGTTATTATTTATGAGACTGATTGCCATCCTCTCATAGTCACAAAAGGGAGTAATACAAAGCAATGCAAATAAAGAATTCCAGAATGTCCAAAACTTACAGTAAAAACACAGTCCTTTATTTTCATTTTGAGACAGGGTCCCACTTAGTTGCCCAGGCTGGACTTGAATTTGTAGTCCTCTTGCCTGAGCTTCCCAGAGTGCTAGGCTTACAGGCATGTGCCACCGTGCCCATTTAAGGGCACAGTTTTTAAAAATATTTTATTAAAGTCATCTTTGGGATTATGAAAGAATGACGTGGTACCCATTCTTTTTGGGGGTGGGGGTCACTGAGGATTTAAACCCAGGCATTGCATGTGCTAGGCATGCACTCTGCCACTGTTAGCTACACCCACAGCCCTAGTATCCAGCCTTTATTACAATAAAACCCGAAGATGCCAAACTAAAGAAAACAACTTTACTTCCTTTGTTTTGGGGTTTTGTTTTTGGTTTTTTTTTTTTTTTTTTGATATTAGAAATCGAATTCAGGACCTTGCACTTGCCAGGCAGGTGCTTGTGCCACTGAGCTATATCCCTGGCCCAAGAAAACAACTTTAAAAAGAAAAGCAGCCCTTTTCCTTTCTGGGAAAAGAAAGTCTCTTAAACTGATTATTTTATTCAGACACTTAAAACTTTTTAAAGTTTTAAACAGAATATGTGTCCAGTAGAAACAGAAAAGTGCTCTAAATGGAACATGCCAAAGAGAAAGTCAAGAGACCTCTGGTGTCTATTCTATTTCTTACCTAGAAGTTCTCTTCCTAAATCTTCTCAAGACTTAGCAGGGTTGGTTGGTGGACAGTTTGTTGGTTGGTTTTCCTGGGACTGGGGATTGAACCCAGGGGTGCTCTACCACTGAGCTGTGTCTCCAGCCCTTTTTGTATTTTTTCATTTTGAGACAGGTTCTACATTGTCCATTGGACTTGAACTCATAATTCTCCTGCCTCAGTCTCCCTCAGAGCTGGTATTACTGGTGTGCACCACCACACCCAGCGTGAAGGATTTTTATACATTATATTGTTTTAGTAAAGTCAGCTTTTTCTTTATTAGGTGACAACTATAATTTCTATCTTAAAATAAAAAAAGAATATTCATCCTCCTGGCTTCAAAGTGATATAGGAAGTCTGTAGAGCAACTGAAGTAGATGGTTAGACTAATACATTCTAATGTGTCTGTGGCCCAACAGAACATGGGTAAACAGCATATTCTGTTGTTAAAGGGTTATAAGTATGTGAAGCGCTACTTTACTTTAAAAACATAGTAGCCAACCTTTAGAGTATGCTTTTTGCATGTGAGACACTTTATAAGTGCTTTAAGTATCTATAATTCCAAAATTTTTTTAAAAATCTCAGAAACTAAAGGCATTTTTCATGGATATGCCTGGATAGTTTTGGTGATACAACATGGCAGGAATTTACTTAAGGATGTTTATAATCTGTATCCTATTTAAACATTTATTTATTTCCTGTAGAAATATTAATGTGTTTAATTATAGCATGCTGCCTTAGTGAGATCCTTCTAAATCTACGTGTTGAAAGAAATATCTGGCTTTATTGAATTTTAAGTGGTTTATTTTGTATTTTTGTGTATCTCTAAAGCAGTATTTTTTTATTTTTGTATAGGGGAGGGGCAGTGGGGGAGAGCTGGAAAAATACTTAGGTTTTTTGTTGTTATTTTATCATAATATTTGTCCTGGATGTAAAAAATATTGAACGTATTTATCACCTTTACTAAAGTGGTCAAAATAAGTGTCAAATGACCTTGTGTATGCTTAGAATACAAACAGTCATATTTGGTTTCAATAGAAAAAGAGACCTCTGTGTTACTTTTTATGGGACATGCATCTTTGTTTCTTTTTGTTGGAAATTTTGAAAAATCTTAGCTGTGAAACAGTAACCCTAGTTGGCCTCTGCTTATAGACGGGTTGTATTTGCAGCCGTGCTAACCTGTGTTAACACAGAAGGAGTCTTAGGCAACTCCCTTTCAGTTGTCCTTTTGGAAATCATATTTTTAACAGCACTTTTCTTTTTTGGCTTGCATGACATTTTCTTTCTTTTCCTTTCTTTTTGCCGTTTGCAAAGACTCTTGGGAGGATTTGACAGATTTGGTGGAGCAAATGCGCGATGATGCAGAAGGTGCGTGCCACACCAACATCCTTCAGCTTTGTTTGCTTTTTCTTTTTTGTTTTTGAATTTTCTAACCACCCTTTAATTGTTTTCCTTAAGACGGTGTATCAGATTGAGGTTTTATTTCCCATGGCAGTAACTGAAAAAAGATTTATGCTTATGGTTCCAAGTAAAATACATAAATGTATATGTGCACTGATCCTTTAGGATATTTGTTAAATAACATATTTAAAAGACATTTCAAGAGTATGTTGAATTTTTCTATGGCTTATTTTTCATTTGTTTGTTGGGAAGGTATAAGTATATATGGAGAGAAATAGATATGCACAATTTCACAACTTTCAAAAACAGATCCTAGAAATCTGATTTGGTATAGAATGTTGCTCTGATGTGTAGATTTGCATAGCATTAAACTCATTCAGCTAGAATGACAGGTATGTACCACCACCCCCAGCAAATCAGTAGTTATTTCTTCTGCAACCATGGCCCCTAACCTTAAGCAGCTTAGAGTGCTTTGTACAATTTATACTAAAAACAGAAAAACTGAAGTTCTCTTTTACTGTGTCATTTTGCATCCTCTCACCGCTGAAGCACTGCGGATCTCTGAGCTTCGGCGCACGACCTGCACACACACCTCTACTGCTATACCCAGGCAACCCTTGCCTGGCCCCAGCCACCCTTCTCTCCACTGTGCTCTCAGCTGTCTGCTCCTCCTCACCAGCTCCTCCCTCATCTGCACCACCTGCCTAGCAACAGGAGTGCCACAAAGGACAGTGCCAGCTTCAGCCCCCTGCACCCCCGCCCCGTCCGCTCTTCCATCCATTCAGCCATCTGTCCTCTAATTCTGTGTATGCATCCCTCTAGTCAGTGTAAACCCTGTGAGAGCATTGCTTGTCTTGAACTTCTTGGCTCCCTCATCAGACCTGGGGCAGTGTTGTCCTCAATGGTCTGGTCACAGCAAACAAACCGGGGCAGTTTTCTCTTTCCAGGCTGCCCAATTATATATTCTTCAGGACTTCGCTTTAAATGAGTAATTCTGTTCCCGAGTTTCATTTCTTGTGGTCAAGCTATTATTTATACTGTCTTTTTTTTATGCTAGTGAGTAGTGCTTACTATTACATTAGCTGCTACTGTCATTATCATTATAATCTCCCAATCAGGCTGAAGGCTTTCATTCCTTTGATACCCTAGATACTGAAGAAAAATGCTACGTAAAATATATGTCCTTCCTGCCAGGGGTAGTAGCACACATCATAGTCCCTGCCATGACAGAGGCTGAATCAAAAGAATTCTCAATCGCACAAGTTTGGGATCAGCCTAGGCAAGATAGTGAGACCCATCTCACCAGAGAGAGGGAGAATGAGAGGGAGAGGGTCAGGGGGAGGGGAGGGGGAGGAGATAGACTGAAAGGAAATGAAAGAAAAAAAGAAAAAGAAAGGAAGGAAGGGAAGGAGGAAAGGAGGGAGGGAGAAATCTAATATATGTAGGACTTCTTTCCCATGATTTAACAAAGGCAAAATTCCATTTCTTCAATATAAAGTACTAATGCAAGAAGCAAGCCTACTGTAAAAGTCAGAGTTCCTTTTCTTTTAGTTTTGCTGGGGTTTTTGTGGAAGGTTACTGTAGGTGACACCCAAAGGGAACCCAAATGAACTTTAACAGTGTAGTGCATAATATACCCAGAACATGTGAACTCTGTCAGTGCCTTGATGATCTTAGTAAATTGCCAGTCAGGTACTACTTGAAAGTGTTACTCAAGGTCCTATTTGTACAGCAGTCTTTCTGGAATGCAGTTGTTGAATTCAGAATGGGAGGAAGGGAATGGCTTTCCATGTTAACTTTTGTGAATCATTTCATTCTCGTCTTCTGTATCATTTTCTGTTTCTCATGTCTCATAGACTTAACCACAATCATGTGAAATTTAGCATTTTGCTGTGTTACATTGTGGGACTACTTATCCCTATCTCTCCAGGGTGAACTGGTCCCGAGAACGACGTGCCCGTGGATGATTAAGAAAAGTAAAAGAAAAAGAGAGACAAGAAAAACGAGATAAAATTCTGAGATCAGGGGGCTTACAGTCTCTCAGACTGCTCTCCCCCACACCAAAATCCAGATACCTTTTTTTGAGCGAGAACCAAGGAAGCAGCTAGGACAGATGGGTGCATACCAAACATTCCAGCAAGGATAATTAAAGGACCACCCAAGACACGCCTATAATCCCAGCACCCAAGAGGCTGAGACAGGAGGATTGTAAACTCAAGGTTAAACAAATCTTGTCCTCAAAGCTGTTCTAATCAAAGACTGTCCTTCTCCACATTAAATGACTTGGAGATTTTGCAAATGAATACTGGTAACAAGAACCAATATATAGTGCGGGAGTATTAGCCACACCTAACAGCAATTCCCCAGATTCTGAGAAAGTAAGAATGATACAAGTCCTTTTGAGAGATCTTCACTGCTAAGCTGTTTCAGTTCTGTTTCTCCTCTGTTATTATGGATGTGCCGTAACAATTGGCTTCTCTTTTTTCTTACCCCTTCTTGAGACAGTCTGTTTATATTGCGTAGGCTGCCCTCAAACTCAGGATCTTCCTGCCTCAACCTCCCCAGTAGCTGTGACAGTAGGCAGGTGCTACTGCATTGGGCAACAGTTTGGCTTTTTAATAGATGAAATGTTAATTCTGGCTTTCGACCTCCTTAAAAGCTACTTTTTAAAAATAACAAACTCAAGCTAGGCGTGATGGCACACATCTGTAATCCCAGCACTCGGGAGGCTGAGGCAGGAGGATTGTTGGAAGTTCGAGGCCAGCCTGGGCTACAAAGTGAGCTTAAGGTCAGCCTGAGCTTCATGGTGAGAGGCTGTCTCAAAAAGACAATAAATAAATAAATAAATAAATAAATATTAAAAAATAAAAATAACAAACTCAGGTTCCACATTTGAACTGGTGGCTGTCTCATTCTTGATTCTGGTTGTGCTGGGGATTGACCCCATGCTCTCACACACCCAGTGTTTATGTCACCATCAAGCTGTGCCCCCATTTCCACTTGTTTTAAATCTTAGCAAAGTCAAAGCTTTTACTAGAGAATTATGATTGCAGTAAAGCTTGCCTTACGTTCAGTGTGTCTCTGACTATGTCTGGTAGAATAGGAAGGGCCTGCTTAGGGTGGATCGCATTCTGCTTACAACCCACAATTGTCTTACGTTGCACACCATTATATTCCAGTAATTTGTGTCTAAAAGTTTTGAAGCACACCAGGAATATTATGAACATTAAATAGTAAAAAGCACATAGTTTACTGTCCTTAGTTTCTCAATAAACACTGCATTCCTGTCTATACTCATTACAAGCCTTTTAGACAGAGTCTGAATTTGCAGTTGGTCATATTACTGCCCACCTGTCTGGGGTCTGAAGTGGTCAGGATGAACTGGAGTTCGGGGACTACTGTACCTGTGTAATGTGCTACTTACAATCACCATTTCTCTGACACTCCTGTTATGTTCAACCTGACGTCCACTCTGCTAAAAAACAGAAGGAACATATATGTGAGTTTCTTGGCTTCTAGCACTGTGCCATAGTCATTCGATAAAGTTTATTAAATTTAGTAAAGCTGGGGTTATTTTGTTTTTTGTTTCCTGATTTTTTTTGAGACAGGGTCTCACTGTGTAGTCGAGGCTGGCCTCAAACTTGAAGTAATCCTGCCTCAGCCTCCTGAGTGCTGAAATTACAGGTGACCGTCACCATACCTGGCATAAAATTATTACATTTATGAGAACTAAATAATTACAATAGCCATTTTATTGTTGTTCTTAGTATTTCCCAGGCATTTCTAAATGCTTTTTTAACATGTATGAACTTGCTTAATCTTCAAAACCCCTGTCACTTTATATATGAGAAAAGTAAAACCTGCAGAGGTTAAGAAACTCTCCCCAGAGAAACGCTGCTCAGAAATACAAAGGAGCAGCCTGCTAACATGTGCAGCTCAGATGACTCTCCGTAGAAGCACGCTGAGTGCGAAAGAGGCAGTTTAAAAGGTCACATACTATATGATTCCGTTTAGTTAACATCCTTGAAGTGACAAAACTGTAGAAATAAAAACAGAGAGAGAAGTAGGTATGGCTATAAAGTCAGTATGGATCCTTATGGTGATGAAGTGTTTTGTGTCTTGACTGTTATTCAAGGTCAGTTTCCATTCTACATTTTACAAGATATTACTTTTGGGAGAGTCAGGTCATCTGGTTGTATCTCTTTGTATTATTTATCGCAACTTCATATGAGTCTTCAGCATAAAACAAAAAGGACAACAACAGAAAAAAAGGACAAGTTTCCTGAGGTCACACAGCTCAGGAAGACCTGGAGTAGAATTCAGACTCCCACAGACTGGCTTTAAAGCTGTGCCCCTGGCTGCTGCACCAAAGTTCTTGTATTTATTTGACCCAAGAAACTTGGAAAATGTCTTTTTATCAGAACTCAGTCCACACTTCATTTACTGATACAGATGTAAGACAGGTTTGGTGAAGGTGTTTTAGCTCTGTTGAGGCCAGCTCTGTGGAACACTGAATCCGATCACAGCCGGCTCAGGGTTTGTGGCTTCAGGCCTCGTGGGCGTGCCAGTACCCTGTGCGGCCTCTCTGGCTGGCAGTCTGCTGAGCTCGTTCCAGCGCCGGCCGCTCTCTGAGTGTGAAAGAACTTCCTGAGGTGGCTCTTGGCAGCCGGTAATTGTTGGCAGAGGTTGAGTCAGCAGCCCTGCATCCTTCTATTTGTCTTTCTACGTCCCCGCCGAGAAATGTATCTTTTCTCCTGTTGCTGCTATTACCCCTATATTGATGATTCTTCAACTCCAGACTTTTAATTTACAACTGTATGGTGAAAAATATGTTGAAGATTCTTCCACAAAAATATGCCTTACTATATCTAAAACCAAGCTTATACTGGTTGCCTCTGAATAAATTACTCATGTTTAGATTTCCTTCCACAGCACACTGTTTTCATCTCCATGTGCAGAAGCCTTGG